TAGCATACTGCAATGTGCAAAAACCCGGAGTTAGAAAACCAAAAGGGAAGAACACGCCCAGAATTTCTGAAGTTGAAATACTGAAGAATTCTATAGGCAAAATATTGAATGACACGGAAAGCATCGAAAGAAGATGGGAGGAATACACAGTCACTGTACCAAAAGGAAATGGTCGATGTTCAACCATTTCAAGGGGTACCAGATGATCAAAAGCCAATGATACTGAAGGAAGACATTGGCAAAGAACAAGTCTCCAAGAATTGATGGAATGCTAATTGAAATCTTCCAACAAACTGATGTGGTATTTCGAAGACAGCTACCTAGCCAACTGATTACAAGAGATGCAGATTTGTGCCCATTACTAAGACAAGTGACCTAACAGAATGTGGAAATCATCAGACAATATCATTAATATTACATGCAAGTAAAATTTTGCTAAATATACTTCAAAAACAACTGCAAGAGTACACTGACTGGGAAATGCCAGAAGTTCAAGCCAGATTCAAGAGAGAATGTGGCATGAGGGATATCATTGCTGACGTCAGATGGATCTGGGCTGGAAGCAAAGAATATCAGAAAGATGTTGACAGGTGCTTTACTGACTACACAAGGCTTTCGGTTGCATGAATAACCACATGAACAACACTGAGAAGAATGGGTATATCAGAACACTTAATTGTGCTCATGAAGAATCTGTACATAGACCAAGAGGCAGTTGTTAGAACAGAACATGTAAACACTGAATGGTTTAAAGTTAGGAAAAGTGTGTACCAGCGTTGTATTCTTTTGCCATATTGGATTATATGAGGAAGAACATGGCATCAGGATTGGAGGTAGACTCATTGACAGCCTGTGATGTGCAGATTATACAACCTTGGTTCCTAAAAGCAAAAAGGACTTGAAATACTGAAGATCAAAGACCACAGCCTTTGGTTCGGTTTGCATCTCAATATATAGATATATAAAACACTCCTCCCCACTGGGTGTTTCACTTCTTGTTACAATGGTCATGGAGAGCGTCTCCAGAAGGCATGTAGACTATAGCATAGTTGTTGTTAGGTGCCATGGAGTCGGTACCAACCCATAGTGCAGTATATCAGTAACATCCACATCAGTGGGGAAAAGTTTCAAGTTGTCAAAGACTTCATTTTGCTTTATCAACCGTCAACACTCAAGGAAGCATCCGTCAAGAAATCAAGATGGCTTGCGTTGGACAAATGTGCTGCACAAGACCTCTTTATTGTGTTTAGGAGCAAGGATGACAATTTGAGTACTGAGGTGCACCTGCCCTATACCACGCTTTTTCAATAGGCTCCTATGTATATGCAAGTTGGACAATGAGTAAGGAAGACTGCAGAATGATGCATTTGAGTTATGGTGCTGGGGATGATTAAAAGTCTAATGAATGCCAGTAGTAAAAACAAATCTGTGTTGGAGAAAGTACAGCCAGAGAGCTCCTGAGAGGCCATGAAGCAGTTCAGCTCTCATTCTTTGGACACGTTATCAGGAGGGACCAGTCCCTAGAGAAGGACACCATAGTGAAGTGGGGGGTCAGAAAAAAAGAGGAAGACCCCCAAAGAGATAGAGGGGAACAGTGACAGCAGCAATGGTCTCAAGTGTAACACAGTTGTGAAGAGCAGGACAGGCCGTGTTTTGTTGTTGTGTACTCGGGGGCTTACATTTACAGCTTTGCTACGATTTCTCATTTTCTAGGACAGTGAAGTTGTGCAGTTTTCTTGAGTCTGTAACGGTTTAAATTCCTGAACACAACATCCTGCTTTTCTCCATAGGAGTATTTGTGTAGACTGGCATAGGGCGGTTGGGAGGGTGCACTATTCTTAGACCAGTGCTTCTCACAGCGGATCTGCTGAATCAGTGCCGCGGGGATTCTGGGCAAACACTAACAGTCATTAAGTTTACAAAGTGTAACAGTCCCACGTGGGAACAAAGTCTGCTCTCTCAGTACCTCAACTTATTTACTCATCTCAACGAATTGTCTTTATGGGATGCTGAGAACCGAGTCCACAGCTGAACAATCCCAGACTCCCCAGGGCTGGGCCTTTCCTGTGAAGTAGACATGGATCTCTGTGTTTGGTATTGATTCCCATATGTCT